CTGGTGCCTTTTCCTTGTCCGGTTCCCAGGGAGCGATGGGGCTGGTCCTGTTTGCTGAGTGTGCACTGAGTGGGATGCACCGGCGGGCCCTGAAGGCAATAAATCCAGCAGCAGGAGGTGTTAGGGTGCTGTAGTTAGCGTGACAGTTACAGGCTTTGTTCACTGTCTTCCTGCTCTGAGGTTTTTTTCCTTTTTCAAACAGACTCTGTCTCGATTGTTGTTTAATGCGTTTAATTTCTTTTTGGTTTCAAGTGCCAGCTCCTGAGGTCTGTACTGAACTTGTTTCTTCGCTTACATCCTTTGGTTGTCTTGGCCATTTGAAGATGGGGAATTTAATTTGCTCTGATGGCCTCTCTCCTTCAGACTTCTCTCCCTGGGTAGAGACACTCATGCCCTTGGATACTCCTTACCTCTCTGCTGGTGCAGTGGGTGGTCTGGGTGATGTACCCATTCCAGGCTTTTGACTATTCCTCCCTCTTCAGCATTGCCCCCCTTTTCTCTGTTTCCCCTTAGGGGTCATAGTGCTAATGAGCACTGAGACATCCCTAGTGGCTCTCTGTCTCTGACATGCACAGCCTTGATGACGAGCTCATTAACACAAATTCTGAAGGGGCACATATTTTCTCAGGTACAGTGTATACAAATAAAATGTATCCCACCTACTGTGACAGGGAGGAAGGCCTGAAATACAGGTGTCTGCCTCCCTGAGGCACTACTTCATCCCTCTGTTCTCTCACCTCCCTTCCTCTCTTAGGCATTGGCACTTCCTACCCCTTCCAGCCATTAGAACAGTAGGCTTCTCGGTGCCTTCACCAGACATTAGAGAGCAGACTCCCCTCCTCTGACCTGGCAGGCATTTTCCTGGGTATGCTCCACATCAGCATGGGCTGTCTACACTGGCGAGACATTAGAGCATAAACAAGTGCCTCTCCCCCACTACTCAGACGTTAGGTCATAGTTTCTCCTTATCCCGTCTCTGCATCAGGGATACAGATTCTTCCTCCTCCTTGCTAAGAGGTTTATCATCTTTCTGAAGCCCTTAAAAGCTTCCCCACTGGCAGAAGTTCAGGCCCTTGCTAGGGATTTTCCCTGAGGGTCAGAAGACTCTGCACTAACCCTAACTGTATCATGGGGTGCCATCATAACCCTGGTTAAGTCTTTGCAACTTCTTCACCTGGAAAATGAGCGAGCAACAGTGCAGTATTTCTCTCAGTATATCTCTCGAGTGCCTTGAGACCTGTGGAGGCCTCACCTGTGGTTTCCTGGCAGTGGCATTGAGACTGCGGTGTCACTGGTGGTTCTGAGAAACAATGATCAGTTAAATGGCATCTGAGAATGAGAATCTGGAAAGATTTCAGTGCCCTTTTGCACACATCCATGAATCCAAGGCTTTGGTAGATCCTCCAAAGATTCACAGATTCAAGGATTCAGTGGTGACAAACAGATGAGAGTATGCTTACCTAGCCCAGTGCCACAGATTCAGTTTTGGCCAATAGTAGCTGCTTCTGCAGAAAAACCAATTAAGTCTAGCATTGAAAGCCAATAAAAAAGCAGTTCTTGGAGGTGTTTCTTCACAGACCTCAGGGGTTACAGGTTGGATAATTCTCTGAGGCCAGAGATATACTGTTCCCTGCAAATCACAGGATCATTAAGGTTGGAAAAGACCTTTAAGATCATCAAGTCCAACCATCAACCAACACCATCTCTCTTTTTTTTTTTATCACCTCAATAGTTCTAAGTGATTTCACTAGCCATATCCATTACTGTTAAGTCTGTTTTCCAAAATTGTGCCATAATCTTGGCCTTGGATGCATCTTACAGCACAGAGTTCTATAGGTTGCATGGAAGATTGCTAGTATTGAGAAGGTTGTTTTCAATGTAAAACATTCTGGAACTGGGGAAGCCAAGTTTAAGATGTATTTGCGGTCATTGATCAGGAAGCTTAACAACACAGTATCATTTGCCTGACCAATCCCAGCCAATAAACAGCACACAAAGATACAACCAAATACTATGCAAAACTTTTAAACAAGCTTGAAAAATGTCACTAAGTAAATTCAAATAATGCATAAATTAGAGGGAATTGCAACTGGCTCATGGATATTCTATGAGCTGAAGATAAACATCTAAGTTAGTTGCATAAATTATTCATCATAACATATTTGCTCAGCTTTTCTCATCAGCTATGAAAGCCACACATCCAAGCATTTGGAGAGTATAATAGAACTGCGCTTTCACCTCAGTGATATGCCCTAGGAGTAGGAAGCCCTGGGGACCAATAGCATGCCTAAGAACTGAGTGGAAAAAAGTCTCCTTCACTATGATGTTTTAGATGTGGATTCTGCTAAGGGCTTGTCTACTGCATGAATGGTGACTGGAATTGTCCCTTGGCAGCAGGCACAGTTGAAGATAAGGCAATGATTTCTTTTAAACTCCTCCTTTTGCCTCCTGCCAGTGGTGTCACGAGATGAGGTTGGACCTGATGTGAAAAATGAACCCACTTTCCCTTTGAATATGCTGTTTACTAAATTTTCATTCTTTGTTTCTCCCTTCTCTCATCTTTATTGCCCACCGCTTTCCAGTGCATGGTCCTAATGGTAACTGTTTGTCCTGTCCATCTCCATACACTGAGTGGAGGCACTCCTAGGGTTTGGATGTTGATACATCAACAGGGCCCTACTTGAACGGTTGCATGGTTCAACTCCATGGTCTTTGCTTTGGATTAGATAACTTGAGAGAAGCAAAAGCAAACTCTCTGGAAACATGAAGTATTCCCACAGTGCTTTCTACAATCGTGCTGGCTCTGGAGGGCTCTAGTCTCTCCTGATGATATCGATAATGGTTGCAGGAAGCATTAATCCATGCGTGAGTTTCACAGGAAGTAGTAATTGTCTCTTTGGAGAGGAAGCCCAGATGGCATTTTTCCTACGCTTGCTGGTTACTATCTTCATGATGGGAACATGGGAATCTTTATTTACTATAAAACCTTGCCTGTCTTAGCACCCAGAGCTGTGTCTTCCCATACAATGTAACTGCTGTATCCTGAAGGGACCGTTCCTTCATCATGGAAAAGGGATTTCCTTGTATAACCAGGTTTAGGATCACCATTCTAAGCATGAATGATTAGAGCAACCTTTCTCTGTAGTGTCAGAGAGAAGTTATTTGTCTTTACTATTAAGGTTCTACTTATCGTTAAGAGCAACTGTGGGGCCCCTCAAATGTATCTCTTTCACAGATACTAAATATTAGACTTTTACACTATTCTTGGACAGCAGAGGAAAAACTATATTCTGTTCCATATAGTGAGTATGTGGATGTTGGTAATGCACTTGTTATCTGCAGACAACTTTAGAGCCAATGGTCTATGTTTTATCCACTGCTGGTATTATCTTAGTCTATGGGTTTTTTTGGATTGGATCTGGGTTTTTTTGGCCTTTTGAAAGAGGTTTTTCTAGGAAAGACTGATGTTTTTGCAGATTTCAAGGTTTGACGCTAATGACTCTTAGAACGTGGTAAAAGTGGTGTTTTGTTTTGGCATTTTTACTTGGCTCATGAAAGCCTAGGAGCTACAGCAGAGGCATTAGCTTGGGTGTAAGGAGGTATTTTGAAGTAAAAAGCTGGCATTTGCTATTTTAGTGAATGCAGCTACCGTTAGGCAGCCTGGGGTGTTGTGACGGGGTGCAATCAAAATAAATACACGCATAATTGCATTAAGCAAAATAACTTAACACACTTGAAGTGGACTGGGTGTAGAATCAACCTGGGAAAAAAAGATCTGGTTTGTGATCCTGGCTTTGCAACTGACTTACAGCATCTCCTAAATCAGCCTGTATGTCAGGTTCTCTACCAGCAAAGTAGGATTGCCAGTGCTAGTTGACACACATTGATAGAAAGTGCCAGGTATTGTCATTCCTATTATTTAAATTAAATTTTTGTCTTAAACCCAGGTTTACGGGAATAAGTGAATGAAAAGCGACAGAGAAGCTTGTGACTCGATTATCTGGGAGATGGCTTAAGATAGTGCAGGTGTATTGTAGGAGAGTGGTTATAAATAATATCCTTTCCTTTTAAGAAGGCCTTGCTCAATATTTTTCAAAGGACATTAATAGGTTTCTCATGTTTTAGGTGCTCAGCTGGTGATGTATTTCAGAGGCCTGATTTTTAGATCGCAGGTGTACAAGGTTTTCTCTAGGCATTTCCCTCTGTGTCGTTTCAAAATGGATACCTGCAATAAAGCGCTGCTTTTGCAAACATTAACTTTATTTTTTTTTCCCAGTTGCTATCAGTTTAAAGGAAGGGATTTGAAAATCTCTTTATAGGGTTTAAAAAAAAAAAACAAAAAAACAACCAACCAGAAAACCAAACAAAATCTCCTTTTTCATTCTGGCCTCTGCTTATATCTGAATCAATCATTTAGATTGTTTATCAAGCGTATTGTTTTTCAAAATGGTCTTTTGCTGTACTCCCTGGTGCTGAGAGATTAAGATGTTTGGAGAAAGTGTGTCTCCTCCAGCCTTGCTTTGCAAAAGCAGTAGCTACAAGGAAGGCTTGTGGACACGGGGACATAGTAATGATCAGACTGGTCTGGATCTACAGTCTGTCGAACTGACCAGCTCTTTTGCTGACAGAAACCAGAAATTTGCTGCTTTATGGAGAAGCGTAAGACCCCAAAGTGTGTGAGGGTGAAAGGACCGGGCTGCTTTCTTTGTAAAGAAATGTAGCCCTCTGCCAGACATCTCTGAAGACTCTGAGACTATCTCCTCATCAGCCCAGACCCCGATCCTCAAATTATGTTGTTATTGTGCAGTAATGTCTCGCTTTTCCTCTTCTCCTCCCCCTCCCCTTCTGTCTAGCCTTGTGGCCTCACGTGTGTATCCGTGTGGGGGTGTCCTCCAACAGGATTGTCCCCTTCACCATTCTTCTTCCCTGTCCTCGGTGGCTCTCCCTGCCCCGCCAGGCTTGAAACCTCACCCCTGTTGTGTTCCTGTGTTGTCGCATAGGGAGTTTGCCCGTTGGAAGGTGAGGAACACAGCCATCGAACGGAGGGACCTGCTCTACAATCCACTGCCCCTGATGCCTGAGTTTCAGAGGAGCATCCGCCTCCTGGGCAGGAGACCCACCACGCAGCAGTTCATTGATACCATCATCAAAAAGTACGGCACCCACATCCTCATCTCTGCCACCCTGGGAGGTAGGTGGCAACCTGGGCTGTTTTCTTACACCCGTGTCAGTGGTGGGATGGTGAAGGCACTGGACAACACCCGCAAACCTTGGCCATGTTGCGTGGAGGGTGGCTGGTAGCACGAAGCCAGGCAGCAGCTCGCCTGGCCACAGCCCGACTCACCGGATGGTGTGGAACAGCGGATGAATACCCTTTCCCCGTGAACTCACAGCGTGATGCGCGCAAGTTCGGCATCCGTGGTAGGTGTGCGCCTGTGCTCCCCTGACAACAACGGCGTCCGCGTGCTGGTGTGCGTCAAGTTAAACACGCTTCGTTTAGCCGCGGAGCCTCTCTGTCATTCCCGTGCCCCCATTCTTAATTTGAGAATACGGTGTGTTGATCCCTCTTTTTTTCAGAATGAAACCCAGTGCAGGAGGAAAAAACATCCTTTCTTACGGGAACTGGAGGAATTTTAAAGAGCTCCAGGAAAAAGGAGTTCAAGGAGCTGGGCAGGGAGTGTGCGTGGCGGGGGAGGAGACAGCCAAAAAGGTCTGTGCTGAATGCACAGCATGACGTAGACTTTGAAAAAACAACGGTTAAGTAAAATTCGAAATGTGTATGCAAGGACTTCGCATGTGCAAGCAGAATATGTCGGTGATGACATAAGACAGAGTACTCTAGGGCCACTAACCCCGTGCACGCACTGCTACTGATGCTGCACAAGCTATTCAAGTACTGAGTATTGAAAACAGGAGGGGTGAAAATCAGCAACTCCTTGATATTTGCTGCTGATTTTTCTTTCCACTCTCTTCTACTATTTTTACCATTCTTTACCCCTTTGGGGTGTGCATTTAAATGCCTTTCTTTTGAGACCTACTATCTGTAAGAGGGATTTTGCAGTGGTAAAAATGTCTTAATTTTAGTACAGAGTTTGTTGCTGTCGCTGCTTCTAATGTACCTGACCTCCAGCCTTGCCACATTGTGAAGTTTGTAGTGAACTTTGAGGGATTTCTGGCCATCTGTCAGTTCCCAAAGCATTCTGCAGACACTTGGATGAGACATAGATGAGATTAGCTGTGTGCATGATTCATGCACAGATTAGGTGGTAGGTAAATTGGCATGGTTCCACTGAAGTCAAATGGCCTCTCATATGGCAAATGTCCTTCAAAGAACCTTGGGCTGCTCTTCAAGTCCAGGCATTCAAACTGTCTGCTCCATCAGCAAGAAATGTGAGAGAAAGCAGGTTTCCATGCACTGAAGAGTACGAGTGACTGTCTGCATCAGGCCTTAATAAAGTCTGTGTAAAGACAAACTCCTTTTTTATTGAGGAAATTGCTTTTCAGGACCATATTTTACAGAGGCCAAGCCAGCCAAGTAAGAGCCTGTTAAAGTGTTGAGAGTTTCTTGTGGATTTACTTTTCTTTCCATTGATATGCCTTTTTCTTCTTGCCTCCTATTTTGAATTTCCACAGATGTAAGAAAGACATTTGATGGTAAATATATTTTTAATTTTGCCTGGGTGGGGTTGTAAATTATTCACAGTGGCTTGTTTCTTCTCCTGATTTTACAACACAACAGTTTTAAATATGCAGAGGTTCGTAACGAGAACTGGTGTTGGAGAGGAATGCTAAATGCTCAATCAGCCCGGAGGATGGTGAGCAATGGTGGGGGAGAAAAGAAGGATTTGTCTTGGCAATGGCAGTCCCAGAGAAAATGTAGATGAAGCTGAGCATGCATTTTGCAAAGAGGACACACTCTAATCACAGTCTGTGGGCTAAACAAGACCACTGGGATAGAAAGTAGACATGTCCTGGCAACCTTGCTCTCCCAAGACCTCGGGTCTCCTCAGAAAATTAGGAGGATTCCACTTTGGATCACAGTGGTTTGTAAACTTATCCTGATGTCTTATTAGGTTGCAAACAAGTGACAAACACACAGGAAATTGTTTTGCTTTTAAATGCCAGCTGTTGCATGGGCCCTGGGAGGCTGGGTGATGGATCGGGCCAGCCCACCTGCATACAGCAGCTATTTTCACACCTGGCCACATGAGGAACAGCTCTGATGCCTTTCAACCTACAGAGTAGCCGGGTCCGCCTGGAGCTTAATAAAAAACCAGCTCTGCTCCAGCCTAGTTCTGACAAAGGGATTGGTGAAGGGTCATTTTGAGGGCGTCCAGACTCTGGGATGGAGCACACAGAGCTGAGAGCCAATTTGCAGGGAAAGCCCTGAAGGAAAGACAACTTTGAACATAGCATCCACTTAATAAACGAGAAATTAAGACTTAATAATGTAGCAAAAGTCTATTAACCTCTCTTGATCTAAGGGTTGCTTTCTCATGCGTGCTCTCAATGGGGATGCTGTGCTTTTCCAGGTCTGCACACATGTACACAGAATAGGTTTCCAGCAATATTATTTCTGCTCAGCACCCTTCACTCCTAGGGACAGTATTTGTCCCTCAGGAGAAGCACCGAACATCTTGGGCTTTCCTTTCCTGTTTTCTTCCTGCCAGTGGAGGGGTCCAAACACCTCAGGGAGGAAAAATAACAGCTTTTGTGGGGAAATCACTAATTTCCACTGCCCTAGAGCACAGGTTTCTCCTGTCTGATGTGTAGGAGCTGTCTCAGCTGCTCATTGCCTGCTTTGTGTTGTCTGGGGACAGAAAGTTAATGGTGGATCTCCTGGTGATCTGAAACCAGTGTTATTGCCTGATGCAATTCAACCCATGCTTTCTGGTTGCTCTCTAAGGGAGCTCCATATCTCAACATTTCTCTACTAAAATGAACTGGTCTGAATGGAAAAGGTCCTGATTTTTGTGCCTTGGCTGTTAAAAGAAGGCATGATTTTTTTTTTTTTCCACAGAAAAGCTGGTTTTTCCAGTTACTGGTGGAATTGAAGATATGATAACTGGAACCCAGAGGTCTCTGAGAATCACAGCTAAGGGGAGAATTATCCCAGGTCTTCCCTCTCCTTTCACAGCCTTGTGGAATGGAGGCAAAGCATCATTCGTCTGCTGCATCTTCATGCAGAGAAGCACTTCTGTTACATGAGAGATACAAAACTTTGGGCTCAAAACACACTTTCACACTGATCCAACCTATCTTCCCCCAAGCCCCTCGGCTAGCTCCGATGCAGATGTCCTTCTAGCGGCAAGCAAGTTGTCTCATGAAAAGTCATAAAGTCTGACCTTCCTTCAAATCCCTCTGTAAAACTCACCTCAAAGACGAAACCTGAAGACGCGCTGACAGCAGCCAGGCACCCGGTGTGCGGCGACTGCCGTCTCTCTCGCTAATCACAGTCATCTTATTGCCTTGTGCTTCGCTGGCAGTTTGTCGTATACACCTGTTGGCTCATCAGACACGTGGGTTTTAAATCCTCTGGGACAGGAACCATCTTTTTGCTGTTTGTGTGGGTAGAGCCTGATGTGACAGAGCCTTGATCCCTGCTAAGGTCTCCTCATGCTGCTCAACGCGTAATAATGATAACGGTGATAAAGGAAATCAAAGCCGGTCATTTTCCAGGGGAAGTGTTTTTGTAAGAAGTAACAATGATGATATTGTTGCTACTACAATTTTGATCATGGTCAAAGGATAGTGTCTTATTTTTAACGAAGTATTAAAGAGAAAGTTTTACATGCCAAACTTCTCCACTTAGCTCCTCTGAAGCCAATTAAAAGATTTCAACTGATCAATTCTTTTGATGAAAAGTATCTTCTTTCCACCAAAAACTTCCATTTTTCATTTCAAAGCCAGAGGCTCAATCCTCAGCATATCAATAGCTTGAAAAACTGAAATCTAATACAAATATTTTGATTTTCATCCAGAATATTTTTGATTTTTCAGGCATTTGACTTCCAGATAAAAGCTGGAAAATTTCCAGGGAAATCAAGGGGGAGGGCTTACTGGGGTTTTTTGCATGTATGCAATGAAATAAATTATTTGGACAAATCAAACTATTTCAGCTAATAGAAAATTTTAAGAAAAGTGCTTGTTCTCTTAAAAAAAACAAAAAACAAAACAAAACAAAAAAAACCCAAAAAAACCAACAACAACAACAACAAAAAACCAAAAACAAAACAAAACAAAAAAAACACAGGCAAAAATGCTGAAGAGCAAACTATTTCTTGGCCTAAAAAGTGGTAATGCATTTTTTTTGACCATGCTATCATTGCCAGAGGCAATGTATTCATCAGTGGTTCATCTATCAAATCAGAACAAGTACCGTTCCTCTCATTAAGAGAGTTATGTAGAAGTGGCACATTCCTATCCTAGGTATCTATTCTCTTCATTTACTAAAATCAGAACTTCAGATGTTAAGAATGCAGGACGGTATTCTGCTTTTTAACACCTTCTATAATGCCAGCCTTATGTCAAGAATGAACTGGATTTTAATCTGGTTCATACAGCACAAATGGAACTTTTAGGTAAATATTACTTCTCAGCCTCGTGTCCTTTTCATATATCTGTTGTTAGATTCAGGTTTCTGCTAATGTTTAGGATGTTTAGTGCTATCGGGTCTTAACTGCTTCACTCCCAGAGTCTCTGTGATTACTGGCTCAAAATCACCTGTTGTCCTTTATATTGTACAACATTTTTTTTGCTCTCCACTTAAATTCATTGAATGAGACTCTAGGAGAAGAAAAAAAAAAGCAGAAAGGATGGTTGGTTTAACTTAACTTTCTCATTTGCTCTTTCTTCTGATGGCTCTCTCCTCTGAGCGCTCTCCTTTGCTTGGTTCCCTGCTCTTACCCTTTTGCGTGGTCACTGGAAGCTAAAGAGCTACAACTAGCATCTGTTTGTCCTCTGTACCCACCTATGTACCTATGGCCTATTTAAATCTTAGTTGGTTCCTTCCAGGAATCAGCTCAGAGAGAACTGCATGAAATGCAATGGCATCTTCTCCACTCAGGTGTGCATCGTTCCAGAGGCACTGCCTGCAGAGAAAAGCATTCCTCAAGTGGGACAAATGGTCTGAGTCCTTTCCAAGAGTTGCGGGAAAGCTGTGCTGGCTAAAAACCATCCAAAATGTTATCTACTCAATTCAGTGGAGCTAACCTACAAGTGTGGTGGACCTGGCCTTTCTGGCTGAATAAAGAAGGAGGCTCATATATATTACACTGAGGTTCTGGCACTGGTGAGGAAGGGTGGGTTCATTTAAGAGTGCTTTAGGTGTTGGGCTTTTCTTTCTTTAGGTGCAACACGTGACATCATGTGTTCCTGTTAAGATGGCCCTACATGACAGCCCTCCTGGGCCTTACTGGAATCTCCTTTTCTTTCTGCTATAGGAGAGGAGGCCTTGACCATGTACATGGACAAAAGCCGCCTCGACAGAAAGTCAGGAAACGCTACCCAGAGCGTTGAGGCATTGCACCAGCTTGCTTCCTCCTACTTTGTAGACCGTGATGGCACCATGAGGAGACTCCATGAGATCCAGATCTCTACCGGAGCAATCAAGGTACTGTATCTTGTCTTGGCAAGAGAAAGATGATTGTATGTCTATACCAATACTGTAGGGATTTGGGGCAGGACCTTGCTAGTCCAGTGTGATGTCTTTTTTTTGATCACAAGTTATTTTGTTCCTGCACTGATTTCCCAGGGTAAATTGTTCTCTTATGGACCTTACTGAAGAATTGATTTCCCCAGTTCAAGTAATATCTGGAAAGAGATGGGTATTCAGGGTGATGATTATGTAGGATAGGAGACTTCACACTATCTGTGGCAGTGAGCACTGGAAGAGGGAGAGAGGGAACGGATAATCCAGATCAGCGATGGAGTTTGGAAAGGAAAGGCAGGTCTGTGAAATGGGCAACCCCTTGCAAACCAGAGGTATTTTCTTCTTGTGGGTGTAAGACTGATAAACATCTCTCAGATGAATTTACTACAAAAAAAGGTGAAAAACTCAGTGTGGCATTACTGAGGCATCTGGAATGAAATGGACTGAGAGACAGCTTGGGGGTTGCAGCAGGAAGGAAGGGGAGCTGTGCAGAGCATACAAAATAGGGAAAATGGCTCTGCAGACAAAGGCTGCCTTCTCTGAAAGCAATCATCCTATACTGGGGAGGGATTTTATTGTTGGAGAGTTCACTCCAGGGAAGGCGATGTGGATGGAGTCGTCGTTGTTAGCCATTTCTGAAAGGTTTCAGCTCTTGTTATTCTGTGGTGTCTCATGGCTGAGTCTGTTCCCTTCTGGATGGGAAATCGAATTGAGATATTGAAACAGTGACAGCAGATAATCACCCTTTGTGAATTCAGGAAGGGCAGCTCTTCCATGGCTGGAAACCAACAGCAACAACCACAGCAACAGCACTGCAGGTCATCTGTGCCTCCATCTATTCTCAGCATAAGGATGGCGTGCACATATGTTGTGGGAGCTCTAGGCACCATTGTGGACTGGCAATCCATCTCTGTATTTTTCTTTCCAAATAAGAGAAGCCAGGGAATAATTCCTCTACTGGCTTCTGATGTTCTCCAATGGAGATCCTCTATGAGCAACATCAATCTGCAGGACCTCATTGCCAAGCCCAGAAAAACATGCAGTACCATAAAGAAAGCAGATACAATTCACTCTATTTTTTCAACTTGTGAGTGTGCCAAACATTAGCCATGTCTGTCCAGTGTGGGGCTTTTTTCCCAATTAGGGAAGATGCATTTTGGATTGCATCAGCTGGTGACAAGGAGTCACCATATTACATCATATTATCATCATATTACAAGATCTGAACCTGCCTGGGGAAGATGTGATGCTGCAATGAAAGGGAACACTCTCTCTTTTCTACATCCTCCGTAGGTAACAGAAACTCGGACTGGCCCCCTGGGCTGTAACAGCTACGACAATCTGGACTCTGTGAGTTCTGTCCTTCTGCAAAGCACTGAGAGCAAACTCCACCTGCAAGGTAGGGCACAGGAGTGAGGGATCTGGTAATACAGGGCACGGAGTGGGGGGATGAAATGAGAGGGGTGGCCCTTTTCTAGGCTTTTCTCCTGCTGTGTTTGCTGTGATCTTCTTTGCTGTAAGTTCCCTGAAGCAGGACGGGTGGCTTCTGGTGGCTTCGTACGATGCTCAGCCCAGCAGAGCCAGGGCTTGACAGGGACAGAGCTAAAGGCACAAGGAACTGCAGACTGGATCCCAGTGAAGTGTGTGGGCTCATTGAATTTTGATGGACTTTGGTGTGTTATACATACACCAATATAAATAAATGTGACCTTTTCCATTAATATTGAAGGGACATTCTACCCACATCTCTTTGTCCCTCCCAAATTGCTGATTTGCGTAAGAGGTTTGCAGATCAGCTTTTGGGACTCTCTTAATGACTGTAATCTTTGGGAAAAGTCACAGAGGTTTTATTTGGATGCTAGAAGCCATGGCTTCAGTCCCAGTTGAGGGGCTAGTACAGAAGTCAACAGATAGAGGTCATGACTGAATTAATAAATAAATACATGCTGGTTAGCAAGAAGTCAGCTTCAGTAGAGGGAGGAAATTCACTAGGTGTGTAATTTACTAAGGTTATTCCCAAGTTTTTGAAAAAATAAGGAATTGTGAGATTTAATTGCTCATTTGCCCAGATGGTTTTATTTCTGGAATCCTTGTACTTGCACAAATATTAATTTTTCAGATGAATGGGCTACATTACATCTTCCGCTTTGAGTATAATTTGGCAAGTGCTGTTTTAATCTTGGTTTCACAGAAACTGGGTTTCATTTACTGAGTCATGTTGTGGATATATTATTATTGTTATTATTTGCCTTTAAAAATAATAGGCAGGTTGTTTTCACTATTCCGGTGATTATCTAAATCACTGAGTTCTGGTTCTTACCTAATTAACAGTAAACAATTTGAGGCTCTTTATATACTGTGATAATGGCTGCTGGTAATGAAAACCCAAGGATGACACATCCGATAACCAGGTAAACAGCTAAATAAGCAGACAGCAGGGATTATAGGCAGACAAACTGGTAAGTAGGTAAATCAATAGATCTCTATTGGCTATCTGATCCTGCAAGAGAAGAGAAAAAGCAAGGTGCCTGGGAGGGGGAAGGAAGCGGAGGAAGAGCGAAAATTTAGAGGGGGGGGTAAGGTGGATGCGACTGGGATCTCTGATGGGAGCAGACAGATGACCTCAAGCGACAACTACATATGGGTTTCATGGAGCTTCCTGGCATAACCCAGCACAGAGAGAGGCCAGACCCAACCAAGGGAGACAGCAAGGGAAGGGAGGAATGTGAGAGCTCTTCCTAATAGGACAAAGTGACCTTTAAAGCTACACCTGAGTGTTTTCCACCTAATCTGGAGTGTGGTTCTTGGGATAATTACCCAGGATCCTTCCTCTGCTCTGAGAAGCCTCATTAGGAATTAGTCACAGGGCTGCAGGTAATGGATCGTGACCGAGTCTCCTCTGATCTGATTAGCAGCCGACCATGAGCTGCTGACAGAAATCCATGTTACTGCCTTCGTGTCACTCCGGCTCCAAGGCTGGCTCAATAAAAGAGCAGCATCTTTGTGACAGGGAGAATTTCTGTTTCTGAACTTGCTCGTTGCCTCCCAGCCCTGAGAGTCGTGGTTTCGAAGATGTGCTCTTCGGGAGAGGCAACGGCCAGACCCAGAGCTATCTTCGTGCCTGCACGTAGGGCTCGGGAAGGCCGGCCAGCCTGGAGATTCAGGGGAGGACCTGGGTGCACACAAAGTGCAGGGTGTCTGGTTCTGCACCTGTGGGTACGTGGACAGGAAAGCAGCACTAGTTTATAAACCAGTATCCACGCAGAGCCAGCACGCACATACACCTCTGTCAGATGCCTGCGCTGGCGTCTGTACACAGCTGCGTTTCTCACAGAAGGTTGCCCTTTTTCCGAGCACTACCTGGGCGCAGATTCCCTGTCCTGTGCCTGGGGAGGGCTGTGCGGTGACGCAGCCTCCCCTCGCGGGACCGGGGGCATCCGGTTGTGGGCACTGCACTTACTCGCACCCCGTTTCCTCTTACTCCTGCCACCAGCACGAAACCCTCCCTTCACCCGCCTCTGGTGAGGCTGATGCACAAGCTGCCTGGGAAAGGAGAAAAGCAGAGCATGGGAGGGGAAGATGCGAACACCTCTACAGCAGTCTGGTGGGAAACAGGAATTTGTGTTCCCTGGAAAAGTCAGTCTCTTAGGCTGAAATTTGAAAACTTGAGTGAAAAAAAGCAACATTTTGAAAAGTTTTGGGAAATGAAAATTCCAGAGATCCTCTTGGAGAGTATATGTCAGTATTGCAACATGGCACTATTTCAGTAAGGTAAAATCCTTCTGTGCTGTTGTAAACATTGCAACATTAAACAGAAAATATTGCATGTTAGGTAGTTTATGTCAAATATGGTAATAGAACATTAAAATTTACATTACAATTAATATTAAAGTATTTGCCAAGATGGACAGAGCCGTAATGACAACACAAAACATTTCAGCTTTTCAGCAAAACAAAAAGAGGCAGTATGAAAAATGCATTTAGACCTTTCCCTGTCAAAAGTGCTTTTGGAGTCAACATGCTCTCACAAAACGCTTCAATGAAACTGCATTTTTGACAGAGAACTCTTCTGTGGAAAATGTTTCAAATAACTCTAATTTAGAGCTGGGGAAATTTACCTCTTAATGCAGGAAGCCTTTTATATAGAGTCCAAAGCTAAACATCTCTAATAGTTTTTCTAGGTGATTCAAGGACATGTTCCCTTGTCAGACACTTCATATTCTTCATGTAGTTATCCAAGACAAACCTATACCAAATCTGTGTTGCTTTTAATTTTTAAAGAGGAACTTTACACTCTACAGAGTGGCAGAATTCCTCCTTCTGATTCATAAGTTACTTTCAGAACTAAGATATCCTCCCTAACACTCGTCACCAGCAAACTTACCTCCTGTGTGTATTATCAGCTGCTGTGGCTGCTGTGGAGGATGAGCACATCCCTTGTATACCCTGGCTTGGACTGAGGTGTTCACCCCATGAAAATGGTCCAGTATCTCAGTTTTTAAGACCAGGTTGCCCCCCTGCTTGGCTGCTGACATGAGGTTGCTTTATCAGTAGACAACACTGAAAGATTAATTTTTTTTTTAACGTTTGCAATATTCAAAGAAAATTCTTAGTGAATAAAACCAGCATCTTGGGAAGTTTTATTAAGGTTGTGGCTGGAAGCAGGGCTTTCCCAGCTAGCATAGCTGGCTGCAAGCTGCTCTGTGGGGCTGGTGTGCCATTACAGTCCTTGGGACTGCAGCTTTCCTGCTTTGAAGGTGGCAACAGAAGCACCCAGAGTAGTGCTCTCAACCAGTATGGCCTTCTTACACCCTCAGGTTTATAAAATTACCTTAAAAATGATTAATCACACTTGTGCTTTACTGACAGCTGTGATCAGCTCCACTTCAGCAATGTTTAGTCACTGGACATGATGCAGAACTACATACGAATGCTGGAGGTGGGTACCACAGCTGAGCGAGATGCTACCGGCCCAGAACTTATAAAATATCTTGCTAGAATCTGGTTACAAGGATACTCAATACAAACTGAAAAATATTTACATGAATCTGCCCTTGTCTGGGTATGATGATAAACATGTGGGGGTGTGTATATATATACACACACATGTCAGAGTACAAAAGTGAAAACAGGCATGGCTGCTTTCAGTAACCCTAACACTGATTTCTTCCACACGGAAATTCCTGGCTGGAAGATCTGAGTCACACGTAATCCCTACAGCCTGTTTGCAGTTTTAAAGTTAGAGCTTTGTGTCTGGTGTGTGCACACTTGTGTTTCGATGGGTAGCTGGATTTCTGTGTTACTTGTGTTCCTGGTCTAAGCACGTATTTGAGGATGTGCTGCTAGTTCAATGTTACAATTAACTGCATGGATTCCAGCACAACTGCTTACCTGATTAAAGTTAAGTGCTTATATAATGTTTTGTTGAATTGGTGCTAAGTGTATGGGGGTTTGATTACCTCTTAAACGTGAGTTTATTTCTTACAAGAGAAGGTTTTCCTGGAAATGTTTTAGAAACCACGAGTTTTATGGTCAAAAAGCAAGTAGCCTCATGAAGCACTCTGCAGTGCAGGCTGGGACCACGTTATATTTTGGAGATTACAGGGTATTCGTGTTTCTGTATGTGCTGAGATAATTAATAGGTGTCCCTTGCAATGGGAACAACACTGCTTTCAGCTTTCCTTGAAACTGTGGTTGGTTTTTTTTTTAATCCCTCTCCCCTCCAGAAAAAGATCTCCAAAGCCAGTATCACTTCTAGCTGGGACCAGGCAGCATGTCAGTGCTGTCATCCAAGTTAAAATTCAAAAAGAAAATACAATCAGCTGAAGAGCTTACAGGCATTTGGTCCTCATGTTTAAAGGTTGGAGGAGCCACCAGGGCAGGTTGCTCCATGAAGCAAAGAGTAGAAAGGTTTGTTTGTGGGTCAGTGCACATGAGAAGCCCAGCCTCCCTCTCCTGCGGGCTTGCAGCTCAGTGGGGACAGCAGCCTTACCCACGGACATCTCGGGAGTTACCAAAGGACCTCAAAATGCTGATCCTCATTAGAACTAGTTTTGAGGTGTTCGCGGGGGTGCTGTAGACTGTGGCCAGCTTCTGGCGTGTTCCTTCCCGTCCCTGCGACAGCACTGCAGAAAAGGCAGCAGGATCT